TAATGATTGCATGAAGCCATTGTTTGATTCTGTTTTCATTTTATCTTCCTTTTGCAGTCTTTCGTTCACCATTTCCATGACGTATTGTCTCCTCAGACCTCACAGTTTCTTGTTTCTTATTTCATCATGTTTTTCTTCAAAGCCAATCCCATTGCACAGCAAAACTCATGTATATTATACATGAAAGTATGGGTTAAGAATAGAAAAAAAAAGGATAAGCTACATGTTTAGTACCCCATTATCACTTTTGTCCTGTTTTAATCATCTAACCATTATTAAAAAAAACATACTTAACGCTATGTTTTGGTTGTCGTTAAAAATTAATAGAATTGTTATCATAACATTTTTTAATATTTTGAATGATGACATGACATTACTTTACGACGACATATTAATATCATATTATTTTTAAAAAGTTAGGTGACTAAAAGAAATCAAAACGTAGCATTAGGTATTGTTTTGAAATTAAAAAATAGTTGATGATCAAAACAAATAAAAGCGACAATTGAGGAATTGAACGTGTAATTACCCTAGGAAAAAACAAAGCATTGAGAAGTAGAGATGGAATGTTTCTCATGATGTATAATAATAATAGTGTGGTGAAATGTCATTTTAGTGTATATTTTATGTTTATGCAATGAATTTAGATGACAAAGCGTTTGAATTTCTCATTTGTTATTATTATAATGTGCAGTGATAATAATGTTGGACTTGTATACAAACGTTTTTCAGTTGAGTGGTCTCCTTGTTGCTTTAGGGTCAAATTATATGTCTGATTCTTCTATCTCGTGTATCTTATAGTTATTTAAGATTCACAAAATACGCATGTTGTACAAGTCTATTTTTTCTCAGCAAGTAAATATATATTGATAAAGAAAATCAAAGCGTTAAAAACCTAAACGGAAGAAAAGAGTACATTCCCAACATAAACTACAAAGTCATAAAACAACACCAAACAAACCACTCGAAGTCCTGGAAAGCACCATTATCCTGAACCAAACCAAAAAAACAACCCCCTAGCAAGAGTAGACAACAGCACCACCAACAAAATAACAAAACAGTTCAAACCGGAGCAACAAAATGAACAAAGCAGTAAAAGAAGAAAAGACACTGGGAGTTGTAAAAACAAAACTGCACCACAAAACAATCAACCTAATCCCAACACACCCAAAAGCAGCAAGCCAAAGACAAGACAGAACAATTTGCTAAGACTTCGGCTACAGAAACTAGAAAAGAATCAGCCATAAAGGAAAGCAGGACAAACATCAACCGCAGTTACCACCTTGCTTTGAAAGAATTCGCTCTCACCGGACCATCCCTCGCTAAACCAAGAGCTAAAGCACTTTTAACATTAGAAGCATAAACAAAATGGACTTGGCCAATCTTCTTCACCAGTTTATTGATAATCACAAGAATCGACCACCAATTCCAGGGTCTATGTACTGCATTTTGTATCCAATAAATGACCCTTTTCGAATCTAATTCCATGATCAATGGTGCCTTACCAACCCAATTTGCCTCGACAAACACTTTCAGCGCCAATTTAACAAAAATTAACCCTGCAAAATCGTCCCCGAAACTATCAACCGGGTCCATGAACAACGCTCTAATCTGCCCTTTCTCTGTCCGCAATGCACCACCACAACCTGCTTTATTATCTTTGACTACTCCGACGACGTTAAATTTTACAAAACCAGCCTCCGGAGGGGACCAGCCAGCAATGACGGAGTTAGAGACACCGCCCTCGGATTGTCCCACCAATCATCTACATTTAGAGCCCCTTCACAATTGGTCGCCTTTACCCAAACAAAGCACGCAACTTCGAAAAGAACAAGACATTAACGAAACTTACTGGTTTAGCGTAGAACACCTAGTCATCCTAGCTAGCCACAAACTCCAAAGTGTCGTGCCTGCAGAGATCAGCCATAAACTCTTATATATGCCTGAAAAGTGCATACTAAAACGGAAATTAAAAAAGTTTGATAGGTCAACCGACAAAACCCAATGTTCTCCCCACCAATACAAAAGAAAATTCAGAAGGTTTAAACAAGAGCACAACCCGCAAACAAGTGGAAAGCGTCAATTAGGATAGCAAACGGGTACAATTTCGTGGATTACGCATAGTACCCGCTCCAATTAGGGCGGAATGGTATAATTTTAGTGGGTAGTGAGCGAGTGTGAATTTTGAAAGTGGTACCCGTCGTGGGTGATTGGGCGGATGATGGATTTGAGACCTTACCGCCCACATCCGCCCACCCACTAAATACCTATTAAACTTTGGACCATTATGAATTTAGGCTTTAATTATGTCTTTTATTATGGTGTTTTATGTACTTTAAGATCTATGTTAACACTTAACTCAAATAACCATTGCTTTATTTTATTATGTTTTTTAACGGACGTGTTTGTTTTATGTTTATTGCTTATGTACAACTTAAAGTTGCTATCAGGCAGGTCTAACCGGGTACGTCTCCAGTTAGATAGTGAGTATGGGATGCATTTGAGAATGTACCCTCGTGGGCGAGTGTGAATTTGAAAAATTTTTCCCATCATAGGTGGTGGACGGATGATGAATTTAAAAATATTAAGTGGTATGGGAATGGGAGAGTGATATCCACACCCGACCCGTCTGTTTGTTATCCCTAGTGTATATTTAGTTTCATTACTTCTGTATATTGTTGAGAATCACCTCTTCTCATAATATACTTTTTTTGTAATATCTTTTTTTTATAACATCTCTTTTAACAACACATCTTTTGATAACACCTCTTTAAAGTTTTCTCAATCTTTCTTTTTTTCTTTCTCAATCTTATATCAACGCCTCTTTCGATATGTCTCTTTGATTGTTTCAGTTTTATTCTTTTCAATATTTTTATTTTTTAATTTTTATGTTCATTTAATAAATGAATGAATATGAATAAAGGTGTATTTAATTTGTTTATATTCACGAACATGCTTGTTTATTGAGTTGTGTATAAGCTCATTTATTGATTTGTTTATAAGCTCATTTATTGAATCTTTTGTAAACTCGTTTACTCGGTTCTCTTTTTGCTTTACATTTAAATATTGATGAAGACATGACTAAATTGAAAATAAGGTGAAATTTAGAGTTCAAATTGAAGTCTAAAGAATTTAAAGACTAATGACATAATTTCACCATTTCTTTGGCTTGAAAATAAAAGTGTAAAAGAGTGGGTTGGTTAACATTAAATTAATATAAACGAACATGTTAGTAACCACGAAAACAAACAAAAACAGCAAGAAAATTGGTTTGGAGGGCTCTTTTACCTAAATTGGTAAACTACAGACAAGAATGACCAATCATAAAATTGGTAATAAATCAGATTCCCCATTAGACTCGTTGAATTAAATGAAATTGACATTATTGTAACCTTTATTTCCTTATTAGCAAAGCCGTATAGGTAAAGAAATATTTTCTTTGAAGATAATTGAGATTTTGCAGTGAACAAAAAAATGGAATGCTTTAAATACACCAATGAGGTCTTCTTCTTCATCACTGTTACTCAAATTTTCTTGCTTGTTCTCCTTTTGTCGGCCTCAAAATCAACAGTCGAGGCGGACGGCGATAAGACCATCATCACAAAACTATGCGACGAGACACTAGAACCGGAAGTGTGTCTCAACTGTGTATTATCCGACACCAGTCGGGAAACCAGTAATGTTTCGGACATGACACATTCGATCCTGTTTTGCATGTATTCCCAAACAACCTATGCACATGCTACTGCAGATCATCTGTTCCAAACCACCGCCGCCGTCGTTCTGAAGGAAGTGTTTCGAGTGTGTAAAGACGTGATGTTTTCAGCTTCGAATACGCTTTGGGATGGATTGACGAAGATGGAGGCTTCGGATTATAAGAAAGCTCATGTATCCGTCAGGTTGGCGCATGCGGATCTGTTTCAGTGCGATTTCGCGTTTATGAAGCATGGGAAAGTTTTGATCCCATCGGAGCTGTTGAACTACATGGTTGAGGCTAAACGTTTGTTTGATGTTGCTCAGATCATGTTTCTCCTTCTTGATTAATGGATTGGACAATAATCTTTATGGAGTTTTGAATTGCACTCAAATTCGAGTTTATCCCTATATATGCTCGATTCAGTTAAATTACAGCTTAAAATAAATATTATTGTTAACTGTCGCTAGAATAATAGATCTGATTTATTGGGATAACATTAAGGGATGATGATGAGTCGGGTTTGTGGTCCACCCTACCCGACCAGAAAATAAGGGGTCCTCCACCCGAGACCCGACCCGACCTAACCAGATCAAAATAAAATTTCACCCTATCCAAACCCGACCCGACCCCATTTAATTTTTTATTTAATATAAACATAACCTGACCCGACCCAATAACAAAAACATTAATTCTCCAGAATATCCAAAATGCATATTATCCTCCAACTGCAGCAATCACTACAACTGACCTGCCAAAGTTCAATTGTTATCCTATGAATTATTCATTTGTTATTGGAAATGTAATTGTACTTCACTTTATTTATCTAAATAAAATTGTGAATAATAATATTTAATAGTTATAATATTAATTGTATTTTACGAGTCAATTCAATTTTTAAAAGTTACGTTTACTATTGATTTTGAACTATTTTAAGATAAGATGCACTTGGTAACTAATTGATTTTAAATCAAGTTACAAGATTAATGTGCTAGATATTTTAACATTTCTTTATAATTTTTTATTGAATTTCTATTAAGTTTTGAATGCGCTAGATATAAATACATTATTTGTAATAAATACGATTAATGAGAATATCTAGGTATTCTAAACGAAGATCAAACTTTTTCGTCATTTAATGGCTTGGGAAAACATTGTCGTCGTCTACATACTTGCCCCAATAAGGGTGGTTCTTCCAAACAATGAACATTTCTTCAATGGGGACTCCCTTTGTCTCGGGCAATAACTTATAGATGAAAATGCTCATACCCACCACACAAATGCAAAGAATATAAAAGTCCGAACTTCAAGTTGCAAAGCATAGCGTAAAGACTTGAGCAATGGCGAATGTGAAGATCATGTTGACTGCCACCGTAATACTTTGAGCAGCGGGACGGATTTCAAGTGGGAATATCTCACTAGGAACCAACCAGCCCAAAGGACCCCATGAATATGCAAAACCGGCTATGTAGAAACACATTGCTACCACAACGACAACGGAGAACCAAAGTGGAAGTTGACCCGGATTCCCATTTGTACCGAATTTGGAAGCGATTGAAATAGTCATCACAAGCTAGGCAGAGAAGAGAAAAAGAATGAATTTAGCAAGCAAAATCAAAATGCTTAAGTGTTGGTGAATGGAAATAGTGATTATTACCTGGCAAAGAAACATTTGAAGGCCACCGGAGAGGAAAAGAGTCCTCCTTCCGTACTTGTCGACGGTGGCAATGGAAACAAGTGTTGCACAAAAGTTAACGATGCTAGTGATGAGTGCGGACATAAGGGAAGCGTTGTTGCCAAACCCCATGCTCTTGAACAAAACAGGAGCGTAAAACACGAACACGTTCATCCCGGTTAATTGTTGGAACAAGGGAATCAAGATTGCAAAGGTGAGCTGAGGCCTGTACTTTCTGCTTACAATATCTCTCCAAGGGCTTTGAACCAACTTGGCTGCCTCACTGGCCTTTGCCAAATCTTTGAACTCTTCATCAACATTTTCGATGCCACGGATCTTTCTCAGAAGATCTTTAGCCTCCACCAATTTGTTGCGTTCGAGCAACGAGTTGGGCGAGTCCGAGAGGAAGAGACAACCAATGGAAAATATCAAACCAGGGACGACGGCTCCACCCAAGCTTACTCGCCAACCCCATCCACCTTCGATCTTAGCAGTGAAGTAGTTCAACAAGTTGGCAACTAATATACCAATGGTGATTGACAATTGGAACATAATGTTCAAAGCTCCTCGGTATTTGAAGGGAGCTATCTCAGATAAGTAGATCGGAACAGACTGCAAGTAAAATTCAGATATAAACAAAACATATACGATACCCAGAAACAAAACAAAACAAAAACTATGGTGATAAGTACCTGATTGGCAAATCCAATGCCAAAACCCAGCAACACACGGCCAATAATAAGCATGGGTACGTTTCTAGCAAAGCCGTTGAGAATGGCGCCGATGGTGAAAAGTAAACCTCCGAACATCATCGTCTTCTTCCTCCCAAGTCCTCGGGTTATCCGAGATGCTGTCATGGATGAGAGAAGAGCAGCCAAATATAACGAAGATGTAAACAACGTTAATATTTGGCTGTCAAACTTACAGTATTGATCGTCCGAAGGTTGGACAGATACTTCTTTCCTATAAACATTCGGGAAGAACTTTTCTAGAAAAGGATCCATGGATGTAACTCCACCTGCAAAATTTATCAGTTCGCCATTAATATTCCAAACAATCTTTAATGATAAAAGAAAAAGCAAAGAGAGAATGTTTGTTTACCAGAAATCCCAAGATCATAACCAAAGATTAATCCACCCGAAGCCGCAACAGAGCAAGCGAAAAAGACCTTTGAAGTAAAATTTCCATCGTAGCGTTTTCCCGCACCGGAAGAGATGCCTCCACCGACGGCCATTCTAATAGCTGAGAAGAAAAGGAAATCGCACTGGCACCAAAGGCGTGAGGTAAGTAGAAAGATTATGATAAAAACTTTGGTTCTGTTTAATCTGTATATATAACGTATATGTAATCCTATTTCAACGCTTACTCCTAATAATACTACAACAAAAACTCTATCCATTCATGTCAATATTAACTTCTAAAACATGATTATATTGACGTTAGGACTTTGATTTTCTTTGTACCTATATTTTACTCTAACTATTCACGTTAGCTATATTAATTATTATTACTATTTCCCTCAATAATATATTTCATTTAAAAATATTGCAGGATGAAGACATTCTTACTGTCTTAGAATTTAGGTAAAGTTTAATTAATTTTCTCTTTTAATATTTTAATTTCATTAATTCAATAATAATTTGTTAATTTAATTTAATATTTCACTTTATCAGAATTAAATGATTTTTTAAAGTTATAAAATTAATTTTTTTCCTATCGTATAGATATAGTATTTTGATTATTTAACTATTATTATCATGATTGGTATGTTTATTATATAACAAAATCTTTAATAATATTATAAATTATTCTAAATTTATGTGATCATTATTAGTAGGAGCAAATCATGATGCATTGATTTAATATTTTACTTTCGAACCAATTAAAAAAAAATTTAAAGTTATAAAATTATGTGATGATTAGCGACGAGCATATGAGGGGTAGAATCGGATTTCTGGTCAACCCTACCCGACTCGATCCGAAAATTATACATTCTCCACCTGAACCTGATCTGACCCGAAAATATACACCATCCACCCGACCCGAACCAAAATAATATATTTATTAAAAATATTATTTTTATTCAATACAAATAGGGATTTAATTGAAAAATAATAATATATAGAGGGGCGTTATTTCAATTATCCCTGAATATAAAGGTAAAATTATATGTTTCTCTCGCGTCGGATATTTTTCACCTTAAAATCGAACCTAAACCGTCTCGAATATAACCTTTAAAAAAATTCAAACAACCCAAACCCATATTTTTATTAAAAAAATCCGACCAGATCGGGTCGGGTCGAAACCCGTCGGGGTCCCACGCCCATCCCTAGTGATGAGACACTAGAACCGAAAGTGTGTCTCAACTGTGTATTATCCGACACCAGTCGGGAAACCAGTAATGTTTCAGACATGACACATTCGATCATGTTTTGCATGTATTTTTTTATTGGCAAAGCAATTTTATTAGAAAACAAAATACAACGAACTTGGTTATATGCCTCGTTAAAAATTTCTCTAATCCCTATTAGAAGAAAAGAGTACATATAACCATGTAAATAAAGAAACACCAAAAATCCCTTACACCAACAACACAACAATCACCTAACATAGATCAAAGAATGAACCAATCAAGAAGAACTCCTGAAATGCCAAACACAAATACAAGAAAATTAAACTACGACTAAGCCAATTACTAACTCTTTTACTCAACTACCTAAGTATGATCTATCAAACCACCAACAGCAACAAAAAGTGATTTACATTCGATAGAACCACTCAACAACCAAATCAGACATATCCTCAAAATAACAAAAAGTGGTTGATATTCGATAGAACCAGTCAACAACCAAACCCAACATATCCCAAATAGAAAAAACAAGCAACCACAACCCACAACATACAACTCCAATAAAAGGTCTAGGAAGCCAAGGGACCAAAATTGAACCAAACAACTTCCAACGATGGATAAAACAAACAACCAGAACAACCGACAGAAAAGAAAGGAGACCAACGAGACCGAACAAAACTACTACCACGCCTTGAAAATATCAAGCCTCGAAATACCATCATTAGTTTACCAATCAAATAATAAATTTCGTAGACCACGTATTTTGTAACCAAAGAAAAGAAAATGTGCCACTAGCTAATCCAAAACTCCATCTAGTACACAAATCAACCCACCAAATTAGAGGACGAACTAAGTGTACAACAAGAAAGCAAATCAACTCTTTGGACTATCGATGGAACACAACATGCTAACAATAAGACTTATAGAAAAACTTGGAAAAACATCATCTTTCTCGTAATAAATCTGACCCTAATCAAAATCGCACCAAAGAAGATATTGATTACCAATTCCATATTTGCAGATGCTAAAGGCCTAAATACTATAGCTAGAGGTTATACGATGAAATTGACAAAATCTCCAAAACCCAAAAAAGCTTCAAAACACGCCAATGGAATGTGTAATCAATATTTTTATCCCCAAAATATATTTATAATATTATTTAAAAATCGAGAAAAATGGGAACGTGAATCCTTGAATATTCGGGGTATTGAATGCCCAGATATTGTTGTTGCCATCAACAAGCTCCAGCAAACCCAAGACTGGGTACTAAGTCACCAGCTCCTTGCCATTAGATCCCAATAGCAAGTGAAGACCAAATCAATAGCATTTTTTATTTTATTACAAAAATGTAATGGGTATTATAAAACCCAAAACAACGATGTAAAAGTGATCGACTCCCTCCATTTTCGAAAGCGATAAACAAACATTCTACACATTTTATTTTTTCTTTGAAATAACCTTATAAACTAAAAAAGAAAAAGAAGAGATAAGAGGTTAGCTTCGGTCGAGCCTTCCACCAGTGTTAGGGATTTCCTTTTGCTAATCCGAACAGTGAGAAGGCTTATCAGATCCCTAGGGGCAACATATTAGATTTTGGTCCAATCCAACGGTGGACGATGGAGATCGAGGTTATGGAAGCTAAGAGGTTCTCAGCTTATTTCGTTGCATTGGGGTCGTTTTTCAAAGAAATGAGCCCAGATCTATGACCGTCGTGTTGAGGCGAGCAAGCTCGTGAAATTTGGGCCCGAACGACTACCAGCAACGGTGGTGGCGTGGATTCTGGAAAATTTAGAGATAAGAGAAATCTTATCTGTCTAAAAAATAACCAAAAAAGGGAAAATGAGAAAGATAAAAAAAAGCAAAAAGGGGCTTTTATAGTAGAACGAAACGACTCCGTTTTGGCCTTACACTTGTATGTTTCAGTCATTTGTGGTCTAATCACGCACGAAGTCCCTCAATCTTCCTCCCGTGTGTAATTTGGTCCCAATTTCAGCTTAGTTCAATTATTTTCAAATATTAATGAGAAGAGAATATGGACGGGGATGGTATGTAGGCAACTCTTCATAGAGATATTAAAGAGAATTGAGTTTCTATTTTAAGTGAAAAAATAATAGCTTGTTATAATATTGGATCGATGATTATCAGCAAACAAATAAACATGATTGAAAAGGAAAAACAAAGAGCACCAGGATTTATATGAAAAACCCAAAAGGGGAAAATCACGGGCAGAGGAGACGAATTTTAATAATATGAAAGAAGAAAATACAAGAAGATTTTGGTGAAAGAAAAGAACTTGATATCTAACCCTGACCCTTAATAACTATTTATAGATATAGATATAGATACATGATTACCAAGGAAAACTAAATAAAGTAGAAATCTACTTTAATAAAGTTTTCTACTTTTAATCAAATTGAGTTTCTTACTTTCCCAATATTTATATATTAATTAATTTGTGCCACTTTGAATTCGAGTTAAACTCTAACGAATCTCCATCTTTACACGAATTCTGAAAATGCAAAGGTTTCGAGACAAAACACCCAAATTTGATGGGACACCCAAACTCAAGAAAAACAATTCTTCACTTCAACGAACAAGTTCTCCACCACTTCCACCACACCCCTCAAAGGGGTAATCTTCAGTAATGGACACCAACTGAATCCAAGCTTTTTCTAGGCTTGGATTTAGTCTTCACATCGACATGGTTATCATAAGTGCCAACTTTGCTCACAAATGTTTTACTACGAGCAATATCATGCACAACATAATCTCAATAATCAATGATAGTTATATCTTCAAATTCATTATGTTCTCAAAATTGAACTTTTTTCTAGTTCACATAAGTATTCTGACCACGATTATTTTGTTTAAAAACATTATTCGACACGGTGAATGAAACACTCATTGCTTTTTCTAAAACTACTGAACGCTATATAACATAAAACTTGGCAGCCTTTCTCTGTCCTTTTAACAAAACAAGAGAGTCTATGCAAATTTTCATAGCTCCACCTTCACTAGAGAACTTGCACCCTTTTGAATCTAGAGCACCTAACGAAATTAGATTTCTACTCAAATCTGGAACATGTCTCACATTACCAAGTGTTCAAAAAATCCTATCAAACATCTTAATATTGATTGTGCCAATACCTGTGACTTTACAAGAGACATTATTTCCAAAAATATATCTCCTATATATACAACTTTATACGTCGAAAACTAGTTACGACTAGGACACATATGAAAACTACTACTAGAGTCAAGTATCCTTTTATCACTTGTTATAAAGTTTTCGTCAGTCGCAACTAGGAGTTCTCGTCATCGTACTTCTCTACTATATCGACCTCACCAGATTTCCCAGAGTTCTGCTCTTCTGCTTCTCTTTTGATTTTATTTTTCAACTTGTAACACTCTGATTTAACATGACTTGTTTTACAATAATGAAAAATTTTACCTTGGTTGGAAGATTTTGATATACCTCTTCCAATATTATCAGTAGAACGCTCATCTTTTCTCCCACGATCTGAGCTAGTCAATTCATGCATCACGAGACAATCTGTCTGAGGCTCAAAACCAGATACAAGATGTTTCTTCTTGTCAAACAAGTGCAAGCCATTGTAAAATTATTCAAGAGTGAGTGTTTCGTGATTGTACAAG